GAAGAGAAGAGAAGAGAAGAGAAGAGAAGAGAAGAGAAGAGAAGAGAAGAGAAGAGAAGAGAAGAGAAGAGAAGAGAAGAGAAGAGAAGAGAAGAAGAGAAGAGAAGAACAAGGAAAAGGAAGAGATTAAAAAAAAGAAAACAAAGAAAAGGAAAATTAAAAGAAAAGAAAAATATTAAAGGAAAAAAGTAAACAAGGAAAAGGAAGAGAAAAAGAAAAAGAAGACAAGGAAAAGGAAAATGAAATAAAAATACAAGAGAAAATTAAAGGAAAAAGAGAGCAAGTAAAAGGAAAAAAAACATGAAAATGAAAAGAACTTAAAGAAAAAAATTGAAGGAAAAATAAAAAATTAAAGGAAAAATAAAAAAGAAGAAAAAGAAAAAGAAAAAGAAAAAGAAAAAGAAAAAGAAAAATCAGAAGAGAGAAAGAAAGAAAAAAAAAAAACGGAGAAAAGGCAGAAGCCAAGCGGAGTTTCGGCGGGTTTCTTAAACAGGGCTACAATCGTCTCTGTATGAGTTTTTACATGTCCCTGAGAGGATTTGCAATTCTAGTCAAAGCCGGTGCGAAAGCAGCGCCCGGCGGAGCGGAGGCTGCGGGCGAGCTGGAGCGGGACGGAGGGACACTGCCCGCAATCCAGGCTCACGCGTCCGCTGACTCCTCCGCGCACAAAACAGAGACGGAAAGTTTTGCTGCAGGTTTTGGGGTGAAGAAAATGTCATGCCTTCTCTGCCGTGGAAATCAGCCCCCCCTTCGCCAGGCTTGCTAGCGGGGAGAGGAGGTTGCTTGGCTTCCCGATCATTTTATTTTGTTTTGGTTTTGGTTTTTCTGTGCATCGGTCTCCTGACTGCTCTCCTGCTGTCCTGTTTGCCGAGCGCCAGAAAGCCAGAGAAACACACAGCCCCCTTACCAAACCCCCCGAATTCCCTCCCCTCCCCCCTCATCCTCACTTCTCGCAGGCAACACTGCTGCTCCTGCTGCTGTAATCTTCCTTTCCAAAATGGGTCTTGGCGATTATAGAAGATCCAAATAAACGTAGCGGGGCATGAATAATGCTCATTGTAGAAAACTGACACTTGCTCAAGGAAAAGAAAGTTGGCTATAAAATCACTTCATTATTTGCTTGTACTGCGGCTCTGGGGCTAATCCCTCCGGAGGTCAGATTGCTGAGAGCTCTCTCTCTCCCTCTTTCCCGTCTCCGCTTTCAGGTCGCATTTTAGACATCCCTTGCAAAGTGTGTGGGGACCGCAGCTCCGGAAAGCACTATGGGGTTTACGCCTGCGATGGGTGCTCGGGATTTTTCAAGCGGAGCATCAGGAGGAATAGGACCTATGTTTGCAAATCAGGAAATCAGGTACCAGCCGCAGCCTAGCTCCCTCACCGCCTGCACCCCCTACCCTGCATTTCCCCAGGGGCCCTTCCAACAGAGAGACACCCGCAGCAAGATGCAGCAGCCACGCAGCCTCACCGTCCCTTGCCAGGGGGTCCCGGGCCGAGGCCATGTGCTGGGTGCCCCAGCCTGCCTCCCCCGCCATGTCCCCCCGCCCCAGCCCACCCCGAAGGATGGAGGAGATGCGCAGGGAGAAGGAGGAATGCGGGCAGGGGGAGGGCACAGCCAGCACACCGCCTGGGTATGGGAGGGCAGAGGGGCAGCCTCCCGGTAAGCCTCAGCACAGCCAGGCGATGGACAACCATGGGTTTACAGGCCGGCGGGTCGTGCCCGTGCCCAGGCGGAGGCAGCCCCGCTTTCCCCCTTCTGCTCCGGCCGCCCTCCTTCCCACTCGCGGAGCGTTCCCGCGGGGATGCGAGGCTGGGATCGCGGAGGGCTGCGCGGTGCAGCGGGGCGCCCCGAGGGGGCGGCACCGCCGTCGCTGTCTCGGGTGCTGAAGGCGGCCCGGCCCGCCCCGCCCGGGGCCGAGCACCTGGCGCGGCCCGCGCGGCGCCCGCAGGGGCGGCCCCTCCGCGCCTCCGCGGGCGCGCTGCTGCCCCCGGCCCGACGGCTGGCTGTGTTGCAGGGAGGCTGCCCGGTGGACAAGACGCACAGGAACCAGTGCCGAGCCTGCCGGCTGAAGAAGTGCTTGGAGGTCAACATGAACAAAGATGGTACCTGCTCCCCCTCTCCCGGGGCTGGGGTGGCGGGGCAGCAGGAGGGAGCTGCTCTGAGCAGAGGAGCGCTGCGTCACTCCGGTGTCTCCTTGGCCCGGCCACGAATGACCCTCCCATCCTGCGGCAGCCCTCAGACACTTCTCCCCAGACGCCCCTCGGGCAGGGGAGCAGAGGGCTGGCCTCAGAAAATTGCAGGGAGGGAGGGAAGCCCGGTCGAGCAGTGCGGGGCACCCAGTGCGGATCCCCGAGGTGACTCCCTGCCCTCTCTTTGATGCCCCACAGCGGTGCAGCACGAGCGGGGCCCCCGGACGTCCACGATACGGAAGCAGGTGGCCCTCTACTTCCGCGGGCACAAGGAGGAGAGCGGCGGAGCCCCGCACTTCCCCGCCGCCGCCCTGCCGGCACCCGCCTTCTTCACCGCCGTCTCCCAGCTGGAGCCCCATGGCTTGGAGCTGGCCGCTGTCACTGGCACCCCTGAGAGACAGGCTCTGGTGGGCCTGGCACAGCCCACCCCAAAGGTCAGCCGCTGCCCTGGTCCCCGGCGGGCTGCAAACCTTGCTGCTGAGGTTCTTGCAACCTGTCGGCTCCTTCCTGACTCTGGGGTAGACAGCAAAGCAAACAGCAAAGCTTGAAGCTTTGTGGGTTGTGGTGAGGAGTTTTGTTACGCCCCTAAAAGCTGTGAGAATATAAGGTGCAACATCCTCTGGAGAAGAGGTATTTAGCAGGACCAACTGATAACCTGATCCATACAAACCCTGTCTCATACACTCTTATACCTTCATGGATGCAGAAATGCTCCTCTTGCCTGGAGTGCATCCACAAGTCAGTTTTAAACCTTGTTTCACAAGGAATGCAATCCCTGTGAATGAGTTTTCTTCAGAGAAATGCCAATCTCCATGGTGTAGCTCAGAAAGTACTTTGTGTACTGACCAAAGCCTGCAGCTTGTCCCCACAGACACAAAACTCAAACTTGGCTAAGCTGGCACTTCTTGGTTGTGACATTTCCTAAGCAGCCCAGTGGAAGCACTACTGTGGCCTCAGCTGCACAGGACTTAGCTGAAAGGTGATGTTTTTTATTAGCCCATTTGCAATGGTATTTTGTGTCTTCACAGCATCTAGAAAATCACAACGAAACTGCTTAAATAGTTCTGCATTTTCAGAGCTGGGATGTAGCTTGGAAGAACCCATTATAAACATCGTCACAAAATAATAGTTTTACATAATAATTTTGAAAAATGTCGATTCAGAAATTATTTGGCAAGAAAATGTACCACACACTTGAAAACGTAACTCCATTCAAACCCTACACAGCCTCTAGATAGTTATGCTTAGCTCTGTGCATCTACTTACAACATGTTGCAGTTAGGAAGCAAGATGAAGGTTTAGGCTAAATAAATATTTACTGCTTTGCTGAGCAGGGCTGGAATGCTAAATCAGCTTCTGGAAGCAAGGTTACAAACTACATGTTGCTAATCAAATTTTTATTCTTTTAACTCTGCTATCAGACACGTTCTATTGTGTAACAGAGTAAAGCACGACACATAACTTTGGTACGTTTTTTCCCCCGATGCAATAATTTCGTTCTCCTTTCAACCTCCTGCTCTGAACAGTTTCTTTAGGACAGCTCATCCACATGGATAAGCAGCAAGGAGCAGTTTGGAGTGAGCCCTCTGCTTGCAGAACACGAGAGTGCACACTATTATTGGGCATGAGCAGGAACACTGAATGTAGGGCAGAGGAAGACCAGGCTGCCTTGGTGACACTGTATGAAATGGCTTTATTTTCTCTTTGACATTAGTACCCACATGAAGTCAACGGTACCCCTATGTATCTCTACGAAGTGGCCACTGAATCTGTCTGTGAATCAGCAGCCAGACTTCTATTCATGAGCATCAAGTGGGCTAAGAGTGTGCCAGCGTTCTCCACCTTGTCCTTACAAGACCAGGTAAGGCAGTGGCAGTGGGAGTGGTATTGGTCTGGCCTGTTAAAGAAGGCTCAGACTTCACATTGGGTCCTGGACTTCCAGCCCTAGACCTTGAAATCTGAAATGGACTTCAGCAGCTCTGAAGTTCAGCGCAGCGTTTCAGTCCGTCCCTGAAAACTAGGCAGTGATTTAGAAACTGCTTTCCTCCAACTTTTACCCCATGAAGAAAATGAAAATTCAAGCCAGGAAAAAGGAATCTAACATAAAACTAATATTATGGAAGGACAAGTGCTAGAGGAGAAATCACCAGGCTGCAGACCAAACTTAATATGCCCAAACTGCTTCTCTACCTGTAGGACAACTTTTTCTTCCATAAAATGGGGAGGAATAGCATCTTACTTTGCTATTTAGGGATGAGAAATGCTTAGTTAAATTTATGGTCTCAGGATATGACTGAGGTTGTTTCTGAAGACCAATTGTCCTCCTCCTCCTCCTCCTCTACCAGTTCTTCCTCTTCCTCCTCCCCCTCTCCTCCTCATCCTCCTGCTCCTCCTCCTCCTCTTCTTCTCCTCTCCTCTCTTATCAACTGTTTGCACAGACAACATTTTTTTTCCTTATTCACCTTGGCTTACAATTACATCAATATGGTGGAAGTAGTATTTGGCCAACCCCCAATATTTTTTACCATTAATTAAAATGTTCCCTAATATGTTTTGTTTTCCTCTATGATAATTTACCTTTGCCTCAAGTAAATCATAGGTGAACCATACAAGATGAAACAATTTCTTAATGACTTGATTCTTGATGAGGACTCAGTGTGCTTTGTATAATGCACCAATTTAAAAAAAAGTAATCAGATAATTGTAAGATGGAAGGGTGGAAATCTACACAAAGCTCCAATCATAAAAGACATCTATTACTTTGATATGATTGAGCTAATTTACCAAAATGGTAACTAAAAAAACTGTGCCATAGATGTTACATAGCAGTCATCAGAGGAACTAGTTCCCCTCCCTAGAAGCACATTACAAGTGTTGCAGTTGATATGAAAATATGTATTTTGAACTACAAGAAAAGAGCTTCCTAGGAAACCAATAATGTTTTCAATCGAAAGGTAAATAATGATGGTCACAATGTGTTATAAAGCTAAGGTATATAAAAATGCTCATTTTCTAGCACCAAACACATGTTGAAATCCTTATTGTGAAATTAATCAAAGAGGAATGCTGCTCAGCTCCACCTGCAGTCCTGCTCCGCAGTGAGGATGAGGGGAAGAGATGAGATGGGGCCTGGAAGGTCACACATGCCAGTAGGAAAACAACAATCCCAGTGTGGCAGCCTGTTGCTCTCTAATCATGTCTTCTGTTGCCACTAATCCTGTGGAGCACAGGGTCTGTCACAGTGAGCAACCAAAGAAACAGGCTCAAGTGTCAGGGACAAGAAGCAAGCGTGCTGCTCCAGCAGCAGCCCCAGCACACAGGAGGAGACTGGGTGATGTCCACAGGAGGCTCCCTAGGCAAAGGCTTTATCTGACATAAAAGGGAGGCATTTTCCACACCATCATCTCTGTTAGTGTGCACAGGATGAGACAGCAGGATCTGGAAGCAGGAGAGATCTCCATGACATGTGACCAAGCACACCTCAAACAGCACAGCCTGCTTATCTACCATAGGCACCACAGTGCTCCCATTAAACAATCCACTACCTCTTTCACTTTCATAGCAGGGACTAAGCTTAGTGAATAACAAAAACTCAGCCTTTCCTTAACATCACTCTCACTTGCTGCAGCTTATTGCAAGTCAGCTTCCTCAAAACTCAGAGCTGCTCAGCTCAAAAGCTTTGATTTGGGCCTCTTTCTGCATGATTCCCCTGTAATGCTTAGGAGAGCTGGAGAAGAAATAATTCTGATTTTAATCACCTTATTTAATGAATAATCATACAGTTGATTTTTATAACATTGCTATTGCTTTATTTAATTTGACAATGGCCCAGCTGTAAATGTCTGCATTTCTCCATTTCTCTTTTGGTATCCCTGACATCTGGCTGAGGAGACACTAAAATATTTTCCTGAATTCTGCTTTTTTTTTTTTTTTTTTTTTTTTTTTTTTTTTTTTTTTTTTTTTTTTTTTTTTTTTTTTTTTGTGCTCTTATAAAAAGGCAAGTGCACTGTAATTTCAGGACTCTGGGGCAGTTTTATCTTGAAGGCAGAGAAATAAATAGAAACCAATTTGCTGATAAAACACAAGTCTGAGCATTGCTGCATTGCTTACCTCTGGTAAAACAGAGGCTATATCTCATTCATACAGATAAGTCCGTTTTGAACCAGAAGCCACACAACAAAAAATGTCATGCTTCTAGTGCTGCTGGCCTGCACATCTGCCCACGTTATCTGTGAGACAGGTTGGCTCAATACAGGTCCCAAACAAAAGGTCACACCAAGGATGGGGTTGATAAAGAAGCAAAACCAGTTGTTCAGAAAGCCTGATATTTGTTGTTTCTTTGAAGAAGGAGGGTTGAGTTTGACTTCAGCATGAATTATTTTAATTGGTGGTTTTACACTCATATGCATAAGCATGAAGAAAGCTTTAGCTATTGGAATAGTCTTTTATTTCTAAAGTCTTCTGAGTTTAGTGGGAAAGAAAATATGAAATTGATATCTTCCAGGAACCACCATTCATTGCCATTGTATCTGCATGAATGAATGACAAAAAAAAAGTGCAAATTAAATCAAATGACAAAAGCAAATGAAAGGCTGGTGAATAATTTTCTATATCATACAGACACATAAAATGCACGTCCATCAGGTGGGATTATCCAGAGGAGGGACTGGGTTTGCAGGCTGCAGTGGTTAGGAAACTTTAAATTCATCTGCTCTCAGAAGAAAGCTGAGATGGGCAACACACTCTAGACACAGCATCCCCTCCTCATCTCCATTTCAGGCAATAATCTGGGCAATTTTTGGTACTGTAAAATCTAATGTAAGTGTTTCAAACAGCAACTGTATGCAGAGACACGAGTACCTTCCTGTCACAATTCCCTTAGGTTATGGAAAAGTTCTGCAAAGCACACAGGGCAAAAAGGCATAAAATAGATATAACCCTGCAATGACAAGTTGAGAGCAGACACTCTGAGAATTCAGATTGGAACAGGATGGTTTAATACCATCCAATACCATTCTATGTAATCATGGAATCACAGAAGGCGTCACGGATCAAATCTGATCCAATCTCCCTGCTCAAGCAGGGTCATCGCAGAGCACATGGCACAGGACTGTGTCCAGGCTGTTCTTAAATATCTCTGGTGAGAGAGACTCCACGACCACTTTGGGTAACCTATTCCAGTGCTTGGTGCACAGTAAAGAAGTGTTTCCTCATTTTCAGGTAGAATTTCCTGTGCAGTTTCTGCTCATTGCCTGGTGTCCTAGTGGCTGACAACAAGTAATACTCTCCTGAACAGCAATATTGTTAAGAGTTTGCACAGAGTTTGGATTTGCTTTTACTGATGCTTGCTGTATCACCTACTACTTTCACATATCTGATTCCAAGGATATAATCATTAATTTTGTACAGCATCCTTTTTTTACTTTGTTCTTCTTTACAGTCTGTTTACATACTTAAAATACCCTCCTTCCTCTTTTTCTAAGAAGGTAAGCTGCTGATAGTTTTAGGGACCACAGCAACATCAATGATTGCAGGTTTGGGAGTTTTGGTTTGGTGGATTAATATTTTTTCTGCTTGAGTTTTGGGCAATCTGTTTTCACTGCATGGAGATGCTAGAAGGTATTTTCTGAGCCAAATACAGTTCTCACCCCTTCAAATCTCTCCCACCCTATTTTGACACAAGGTCTCAGCATTATGTACGCACCACCATGTGCCCTTTGGCCATGCACTTCAGGTGAACCAGAGGTCCTCCAAACCTCTCTTAAGAATTGGTCTAAGCTAACAATCCATAGATGCCCTCAAGACTAAACATGTCTCTTCTGGCTTTGCCAGCCTGCATTTCCAGAAGTCTTGTCTTCTCTTCAGATGCACCACTGCCTCTTCAGGGAAATGACAAGCATTGCCTCAGGGAAAACAGAGAAAAAGACATCCTCCATACAGACAAGCAGTGTGGGAAAACTGCAGAGAACTAGTAATTGTCAGTGTAGGTGCCTGGATATTCACATCTCTGAAAGGAAACAGCTCTTAGTGCCTGGAATTTCTGAGTGATTTTAAGCAAAAAAACAGAAAAACAAGTGACATTGAGAAATTGTTCATGTGTCCAGATGCTGTGCTTGACAGATACAGAGACTGGCTTAGTAAGGAAGGAGTTATAAGATGGATGTATGCTCTAAAGCACTGCTCCCTACACTGATACAGCATGTTATCCAGGCTTTTCTTCACAAAATTCTGCCTTCCTGAGGGAAAGGAGTGTAATCTCCAGAAAGCAAGAGAAAAGACCTGTCCTAAAACAGCTGCATAAGTGTTGAGGGGGAGGAGAAGAGAACCCATACCATGCTGAGAAAGCAGGTGTGGTCATGTTATGAGCAAATGCTCCAGAAAAAGAGTTCTCTCTTTCTCTTCCTTTTTGGTCCACAACATGGTGTACAGTGAGCCAACCCTCAGTGTTTTTCTACAATGCATAGACTTATTTCTAGACACCTTCTCAAAAGGCTAAGAGAAAAGCTAATGAATGCTGTGGGGGAAATACCATGACAGGCATTTAAAGTAGTTTTTAAAATAACAGAAATTTACATATTAAAATTGTTTATAAATCTATAAATTATACACTATGTTATATTGTACATCTATTGTATGACAGCTGATGCTTTTGGAAGATGCTTGGAGAGAACTGTTTGTTCTAGGAATAGCACAATGGGCCATTCCAGTTGATGCTAACACTCTACTGGCTGTATCTGGTAAGAATTGCACAATTTAATGACTTTGTTACAAAAATTACCATAAAAATACATTACAGAAAAAAGAACAACATGTAAAGAATAACAAATTCCTACTGAACAATAGAGCATACCTGTCATTTATAAATCTATATTTAAATGCAAATAATGTTGTTTTGTTGTATTCATGACTGCTTGCATTGTCATTTAAATGCAAATTACTGTGTTTGTTATCATCCAAGAGAAGATTTTATATTAACTTTCATACAATATAGTCAGTTTACATGGAACCAGATAGACAAGTGTGACAATAGAGAGGACATTGATACAGAAGATTTTGTCAGAAATCAGTATAAAATAAAGCAAATGCCTTTAATATTATTTATTTCATCTGTTTCCGTTTCAGGCATGAATAGTGACAATACAGATTCTCAGAAGCTGAACAAAATTATTTCAGAAATACAGGCCTTACAGGAGGTTGTGGCTAGATTTAGACAGCTTCGGCTAGATGCTACTGAATTTGCCTGTCTCAAATGCATTGTCACTTTTAAAGCTGGTAAGCAGAAAGGATCTCTTGCTTGTCTGGTCTGATAACTATGAGGCTGCTGATTTAACGTGATGTTTTATACCAGGCATAGCTTTGTATCACCCAGCAGGTTTCCCAGTATTGAATTCCAATAGTCATTGCTGCATTTTGAAAGGGCTGACAGTGGAGTTCTGGGAAACTAATGGGAACATTTAATTTCCATTGATAGCACTAGCTGAACTGTTTTGATCCACCCAAGAGTCAAGCTGAACTAGTAACTGATCTGCTTTCCAGTGCCCACACACAGTGGTTCTGAACTGAGGAGTTTCCGAAATGCGGCCGCCATAGCAGCCCTTCAAGACGAAGCCCAGCTCACCCTGAACAGCTACATTCATACCAGGTTAGTGGTGTCTTCTGTCTATGCTTCTGGCAGGTGTAGGGCTAAAATCCTGCTCTCATTGCATGGAAGGTGGCATTTGCACTGACTGAAATGGGGACTAGGCTGCTACAGAGAGTATACATTGGCTGGCAGCCTGCTGGGATTTCTGAAATAGAACCACATAAAAAGTGTTGGAAAGGACCATTAAAATCATCCAGTTCAACCATTAATGCTGCCAAGTCCATCACTAAATCATGTTCCCAAGTGCCACATCTACACGTGTTTTAAAGACCTTCAGGGATGATGACTCCAACACTTCCCTGTGCAGCCTGTTCCAATGCTTGACAACCTTTTCAGGAAAGAAATTTTCCCTAATATCCAAACTAAACCTCCATTGGTGCAACTCGAGGCCATTTCCTCTTGTCCTATTGTTTGTGACTGGGAGCAGGGACCAAAACCCACATCACTACAATTTCCTTTCAGTTAGAGAATGATAAAGTCTCCCCTTAGCCTCCTTTTCTTCAGACTAAACAACTACAACTCCCTTAGCTGTTGCTCTAGATCCTTAACTGGAACTTGTGCTCTAGACCCTTAACCACCTTTGTTGCTGCTCTTCAAGTGTGCTCCAGCACATTGGTGTTTTTAAACAAACAGAAAGGAGAGCTCTTCCTCTGGGAAGTGATAATGGCTGTGCAACACTTTGCAGTTCAGAGGGCTAAATACCCTCTACGTTTTATTCAGTCAAATACCACTGAAAGTGATGGTCAAAACATTGCATCTCAGACCAGTATGAGTGCCTTTCAAACATAATCTCCAGTTCCTATATAACCTCCTCCATTTTGCAGACACAGAAATCAGGACACAAGGAGCTTAAGTGGATCTTCCAAGAAGCTGTCTGGAGTTTGTGATCAGGTTCAAATGAAAACCCCAGAATTTGTGAATCCCATTGTGGTGCTGCAGTGAAGTCCTTTAGTTGCAGTGGACTCCATGAGACTAAAACAGCTGGAGATGGAGCAGTAGAAGAGGAACTTTTATACAATTTTTTTCCTCTGAAACTTTGATTTGCTATCATAGTAGCTCTGTCAGGCAGAAGTCCTATCAGTACCAGAGATTAGATGGTAGCAGTCTCTGAAGCACTTCTATGAGTCTACAGGAAATGGCCTGCACTGGGGATGGAAGTAAAAATGCAAATTCCATCCAGTTATGGCTGCTTCAAAGCAAAAAGAGTAATTGCTACATTGCAGTGTCTTCCTGTTTTTAAGGAAGACCTTTTCTGTGAAGATTGTCCCCTGGAGACCTTAAGTGAGACAGGGCCTGTTGGAAAGAGAAATCAGGGAGGAATACATAGCCACATCTTCCCTTCCAAGGGAACAACTTTTCCACAGCACTTCTGTGTTGCTGGATGTTTTTAGATACTGTGTTACCCAGTGTATGTTGTAAACAATATCCTTTTACAAGGGAAAAATTGCAGTTCACTGACAGGACTCTCACTCAGACTCCATTGTGACAGGGCTTTCAGCCTCGTGTATTTCATCCTCCTGCCTATGTCACTCCAGTATCAGCCCTTTGATCCCAGTAGAGTCACTCTCAAGAGGATGCAAGGGAGGACAGTCTGAAGAAGCAACATGTTTCTCCAAACAACCTACACTTCCCTTTAGGGAGACTACTGTAAGCAGAAGTTTGAGAATCATTGTTGTAAAGACAGCATAAGCACAGCTAGAAATGCACATCTTACGCTGTGCTGGCTTCAAGAGCTGGGAGAAAGGATGGAAAACATCCAATACACAAACACATTACCTAGGGAAGAGCACAGCTTCTTTAACACAAACTTTCCTTACGAATGTCAATTAGTATTCAATATATCTGCTAACCAAAAGGGGGCAAAGTGATTACCATGACAATCCAGCTAGTTCTAAACTCAACTTCAAATGACAGCACAGTTGCTACAAGTCAAGCTCTTCCCTGTACTGCATTGAGAACATTGCTGTATGAGGGACACATCAGAGCAGGTCCAGTTTTTGTACTCCTACTGCTCTAGAGGACTGAACAAAGGAGCTAAACAAAACTCAGAAACCTTGTCCTATGTTCTGCTGACTACCATGGAGCATTTTCCTTGGAGCCAACCTTCTTGCTCACACAAGTACAAAATACAGGGTTTTGGCACAGTGTCCTGGGGTGACAATAGTATCCCACTAGATTCTGAGTCATTCTAGACCATGCAGACTGCACTTAGGTTGAGGTTATTTGGTTCCCTCCCAAATTTGTCCCAAACTGGGACATATATGTAGCATCACCCGTGCAATTAACTAAATATTGGTCTTTTTCTATAAAATAAAGTCCTTCCTTTGAAAAAATACTTTAAAACTTCAATGAAATAATTATTCTCTCTGTCTCTAGGTATCCCACACAACCCTGTCGTTTTGGAAAACTTCTATTGCTTTTACCAGCTTTACGTTCAATTAGTCCATCTACAATAGAAGAAGTATTTTTCAAAAAGACAATTGGGAATGTACCAATTACAAGACTGCTTTCAGATATGTACAAATCCAGTGACATATAAATTACCTTAAAATAAACAATCAGGATGGACAGTTTGAGAAGAACTTTTATCTATGGAGAATAAGCCTCAACTAACAAAATCTACAGGAAGCATAAGCCTGGGAATGTTTAGTCCTTAAACTCATTGACAAAAAATACCCCAGTAGATATGATTCTGCTGCTCTGAACAGAGTGATTTAGATCATGGAGAGAATGCTTTGTTCTACAGAAAAAGTGAAAGTGGTTGGAATTTGGCTGCTATTCCTGTTACTACAGGATGGAGGCAATTCAGATGCCAGTCATAGTTAACAAAGACTCTGCTATTCTCTCATTCAACTGGCAGATCTGAGACAAAATGTGAAAGAAGGTACTTTAGCTTGTTCAGTATTTGGAACCGGGTGACCAAACTTGGCTTCTGTTATAACACAAGATGTGGTGGCCTTCAGAATTGTTTTAAAAGTAGCCTATGTTGGGAAAATGTTTTTAATATGATAGGCAACATTTGAGACCAAGTTACCAAAACATTGCTTCTGCTATAATGCATCATGAAGTGGCCTTCAGAACTGATTAAAAGGTAGCTTATGACCGCAGCTCCATTCTTCCTACAAAATGAACTGGTGATCTTTGATGCAGATGTCACCACAATTTGTTCGGCTAACATCTCAAAGACAGAAGAGCTTTATACATTTCCTCCCCGACCTTCCCTCCTTCTTCTTCCATACACAGACATACATTCAAACACACACACACACACACACACACACACACCTGAAAAGAGACAACACAAGAAAGGAAGACTAAAACAGCAAAACCAAATACAATGGAGATGACCGCTTCAGTGATCTGCTGGCTGTCCTGTTGGCACAGTGCTGAAACCAAAGGCAACGGTGGCCAAACTCTTTGTCAATGAGATGTGCAGAGAAATTAAATGACTATAAAAAAAATCAATTGAAGGAATTTTATTTCAAAGAAATAAAGGCTGTTGACTGACAAAATGCTAACAATTTTCAGAAGTCTCCAATGCCTTTTTAGAAAACTCCAGGTTCTAATTTTGAAGCCTTGTTCGCCTACACCCTCTCACACACAAAAATGTTATAAGCTGCTTATTTGTTGTATGAATAATGTAGAAAAAAAACATTTAAAGATAGCTGCTGTCCTTTTCAAAATTTGATTTGTTATTAGGAACTAGCACTGAGAAAGATCAGCACTTGAACTATCATAGAATGAGTAAAACTTTTCTTGTACAAAGTGGATTAACTGATTTGTGAAGTTAAAAAGTTGTACTCATTGTATTTACAAAGAATAAAAATATATTGAATTTAAATTACTTTCCACTGTTCTTTTATTCGTTGTCCTTAAATCAGTTTCTTTCACTGTCCCCAGGGAACAGAAGTATTCTTTACTAAAACTAATCTCCCCAGATCCTGTGGAGTTTCTATCATCAGAGGTTTTTAAAAACAGATTAGACAAACATTGAAGGAGCGAACCTGCCTAGTGAGATCCTACATGGAGCTATTTTCTGTAATCCAAATAAATCCAAATGAATACCAATGTGTTCTCAAGAAGGTGACAGGTAGCTTTTTCTAGAATACAACACTAAGTGCATCAGAGATCTACCCCAGTATGTGCCTTCTGTTGCGTGTTATTACAGTTTTTAATATAGGTGAACTGTGCAGCTAATAAAAGGTGATGAGTACAAAAGCACTGCTTCAATTAAAAAGACTAAGGTTTTATTAAGGTGTCTAACTGCATAATCACACCAAAGAAAGAGGGAAATAACTCCAAACCAACACAACAACTTGGCAATAGTAGGAGGCAAATGTATTGTTCATATGGCAATGAGTAACTGAAGAACCATGCATGTGAAAGTGACAGGTAGAAATATACTGTGAGTATTGATGGCTCACTGGTTTGCAGTGTCAAGGAATACAGGTCACAAGTGAAATCCTAGCTCTGCTGACTTCCAAGCTCAAAAATCTCACATGTTTCAGAGGTCAAAGTTTTAACCCCAGCTCTCTTCTATTTGCAGTCTGCTAGGTCTCACATTCTATCTTTTCCAACACAGACCATAAATACAGAAGATGAGTCACAGGCTATGGGACTGCAAAGTATCTTCTATACTAACTAACTTGGAGCACTTAAAAATGCACTTACCACAGGGCAGAGCACATTCTTAGAAAAAAAACAACAAACTATTTATAATCCATTCTTCTTGCACCTGTAATAAGCTTCAACTATTTTCTGCTCTCTACACTAAAAAGAACCTAACGGGGCAGAAAAATCAATTGCAGTTCTCCACTCTGTGACAATTCAGTCTATGAGCTAGAAAAGTAGAACCCAGTGCTGCACAGAATCCATCACAGAACATTCATTTCAAAGGTTCATGCTGCTGTCCCAGAGCAGCAATAAACATGAACTGCATCCACCCTGCTAGTCAGCTAGGCAATTACACCCTGCAGTAGTCCCTACATCACCCTGACTAGAGGACAAAACAGAGCATACTGGCAAAGCAGGCAGGGGAATGGCACCACACCCATATCTCATCCTCTTACCTGCAAGATCTGGCCCAGCTGCAGAGCAGATTCACAAGCTGGGTACAATGCCCAGTTCCCTATAGTTTAGGCACAGCTAATCTCAGGCTATGTCTTGGTCCCACTGCTGCACACTGCACGGAAGCACAACCAGTTACACTACACTAGAATTAGGGTCTCTAGCTAGCCTTGAAGGACTTAAGGCTAAGTGAAATCCCAGATTGCTATGAAAATGCCCTGTTGTTCTAAGAGATTAATGCTCCAAAGTTCTCACTTTGGAAAGAGGGATACTTTGACATGAAGCATGCAGCTTTTCCCTCTTCAGCTTAAATATTTGGGTTTTTTTCATGGCAAATTATAGAGATTGTGTCATCATCTTTCAAGTTTAAAATGTGGTATTTACTTTGATTTCAGAAAGCTTCTCAGAAAATAACATTTGTGACAAGAAAAATAACTTACTTTGTATCTAAACCTACATAATGACACTTAATACATTTAGTCCTTCTTTCCCCCTTTTCAAGGGGGAAACTCAAGTTTTAGGGGTGATTCAACAAGGAGAGAGAAATTTGGAAATTATTTACATTATCAAAAGTATCTTGAAAAGTGACAGCCGTGGGCTGCAAATGGACTGTCGGTTTTGGTCCTTGGGTTTGTGGGCTTGAGAGAATCAGCATAGTCTCAGCATAGTCTCAGTTAAGTATGAGGCTTCCACCTAAATTTAAATTATTCAAAGCAATTATTCAAACATCTATCTATTCAGTGTAGCTAATCACTAGTACTATGTATAATTCAGCCAGCCACCACTGCCTTGTCAGCTCAGTCTTTGACATTCAGATTTTCATAAATGAGGTTAATGGTCTTAGTTAAAAGAAGGTACTAATTTTGTCAGGAAGTTTGTAGGATGCTCTTTACAGAGGTAAGTGTCATAAGAAGGAAAAAAGCAGCAGAGCTGAGTCTAAGCCAACTTGTAGCTACCAAATAGCATGAAACACTAGAGCAGATTGCTACTAGAATATTCTGGAATCTGCTGTCAAGAGCATCTGGATAGGCTATGTCACATTTGGAAGACTAAGGAAGCTTCTCTAGCACACTTCCTTCCTGTATAAAAGACAACTTCAGCAGTGCTGCCTATGAACTGCAGTTCAGCCACCCAGCACCTGCATTGCACCAGTGGTCAAACCAGCACAATGCTACAGCTCACTCCTCCTTCAGTGTTCAAGGAAGTGGACTATGATCATATCTTACAGCAGCATCTTCCTAATTCTATTTGTAGATCAGAACTATTTTAAGTTAGGAATGATATTATAAAATAAGTTATGTAATATTTCATTTCTCTATAGGATGGCATAGTTTTCACTACCTAGTTGATGCTTTTCATGCCTGTCAGGTAGAAAGGTACTCTTTTCCCAAAGTTATTAAAGTCACAAATCTCTTGATTGCCTACTGTGAGTGGTATTCTAACTTCAGCTCCACAACACAGGAACAACCTTTTATACCTTTATGTGTTCTTTAATACTTGCAGAGTGAGTGACAGCTTCTAAGGGTATTTAGTGCTGGCTGTTAGTGATACACAACTACATTGTGGAAGAACATCACAGTGAGGCTGTAACACCAGATCACTTAGCATAGCCAAGCCCCTCCTCCTGAGAAAGCATGAGACACTCCACACTCAAGGTCAAGAGTGACAAAACATTTGAAGTGCATTTTCACTTTTATTTCAAAACTTTAGACAAGTTACTTTAGTATATAAATTCAATTTTTCCTCTTACAGAATATAAAGATAATTCCCTCATTACTTCAATATAAAGTGTTTTACAAGCTTGAAGACAATTGCATAAGTGTTTCTCATACAGGATATCAGAAATAAAGCAGTCTTTCTACAGACATTCAGACAGGTGACTACCTCAGAAACAGCATAGCAGTTTAGTCAAATACAAGTGAACATGTGACACTACATTTGTGAAAGTTCAAGTAAGGCCAAGTCAGTAAACATTGTTAATTCATTGCAAATAATAGTGGAAAGGTTTGTGAGACATTGCAAGGGATGGGTGGTTTCATAGTATAATACTCTTAAATCAAAGATTCAGAAGGATTTAGCTATAAGACAAGTGAGTTCTTAAATGCTATAAAGCATATGCAAAGACCAAGCAGTGTACTGGTGTTAGTGAAGACTTCGTGCCTGTTCATCCTCAGCATGCTAAGACAAACTACAACCTCTTAAAACCAAGCATAAGAACCACTAATATATATGAGGAGATGTTTTTAAAATTCAAGTATGTCTTATTTTGGAGGGTGTGTAGTTTTTATCTATTACTTCATCTTGTAAGAACATGTGAAGACAACGCTCGTTCTGTGCCAATGGGTGGCCTGCAACCCTGCAGAGAAAAAAACCAAGCATTAGTATTAACCAATTGAGCCTACTTGCAGCTATCCTGCAGATCAAGGTTTTGTACCAATAACCTGTTGTTCTGCACTTGGACACAGATCCTACTTTCACTTCACTGTTGGCAATTAGAATGCTGTCTAGTAGCAAGACTTATCAGGCTTCCCCAGATGAAGTTAGTCCATAGGAACCCTGAGCTACCTCTGATCCCTTGGAAGCATGTTACATCATCTGTCACCTGTAATTGATGAGACTATCCAAGTAAGTGCTCATTCTAGCATCAGGAAATACAGAGGTAAGAAAGGCAGGGGGATTTTTTTTTCAAAGGTCTTAACACCTTTGCCATTGGATACCCTTTAAAGGCCACTTATCCCCTCCATTTTCAGTGTCACTGAGCAGCAGCTCGTTGTGGCAGAACAGAAGCCTGGCTCCAGCAGGGGGTGTGAAGGCTTTCCGAAGGCTCAGGCACTGCTCCAGACAGAGACTGCACCCTAACCAGTGTCCTGGCCTGTATGGACAGCACTGCACACAGCCAGGGATTACTGGCCCTTCTGCTCATTGCACATGTGGTAGCTTGCAAACACAAGAAACAGAGCTTGCCTTTTCTAGGAGACAGCAGCATCTCTACTGTAGATTTAATTTAAGCTGAAAAACCATCCTTGTAACAGTAAAGGAGCTGAAATTGAATCAAGAGACACTCACTTGGAAGAAAATCAAAAAGCACTGCCCTTGAACCTTTAAAATGCCATGTAGACTCCTGTGTAGGCAAAAATCCAAAAGAATCAGATAGCTGAAAGTTCATCATTTATGGGCACAAATACCTAATACAGATGGGTTTGAAAAAAACTACATCCAGTTGGTCAATCAAGACAGACTTCTTCCTTTAGGAGAGAAAACCCCTCAGTACCCCAAGAGCAGCTTGTGTAAACCTCGTGGCCTCCATATCTGTCAGAACAATTCTACCCATAATGGAAGGCATCTGGTTGAACACACGCAATACATATTCAGCTCTAATGGTTCATCACCACTTCCATGCACTTCTGTGCACCTTCTTACAATTTATCTATTAGTGCTTATTTCACCACAGAACACGCTCACTTGTCACTACTCACCTGTCATTGAGGGTGACCTATAATGAGGAAGCTGAGCTCTCCTATTCTACATTGATGGATTATTTCAAGAGCAGTTATAAAAATGTGTCCATATTGCCAGATTCTAGAAAAAGGCCAGCAGTCTCAAGCACTAGTTCACAAGGATGACAATCTAGAGTAAATAGTTTGAGTTTCTTAACCCATCAGAATCAAGTTACTGATGTTAAACCTCAAGGAAAAGATATATAGGAGAGGATGAGGCAACAGCAAATTCCTTCTTCTTTTCAGGAAGGCTTGAAAATTGGTGGCTGAATTGCAAAAC